CAGAACCTCCACTGCCTGGAGAGTTCAGTTCAGTGTCAGGCCTTTGTCTTGAGGGCAACGGGAAACTATGGAAAGGTATTTAAATTGGGGGATGTGGTGATCAGCAGCATTTGGCAGCAATCCAGTCAGAAGATCACGACGATAAACCAGGTGAGAGACGACGGTGTCTCAAGGGCAAAGGGGATCCCATCAAGACATGGGAACCGCCACATCGTTCTTTCCCCAATATCACTGTTTCTAGACTTTTCCTTCTAGGAGGCCTGCAAATGTCTGTTATCGGGAGGAAAATCCGGCCCTGCTATTTCTCCAGCCTTCCCTTGTTCCCAGTCCGGCCCTGCCCCTTTAACATTCAGGAATGAGAGCGGAAGCAGAAGGCCTAGGTCCCCGCGGGTCCCGACGCCCGGATTCCACAGCCTGTGAGGATCCCTTGCGCCTAGAGGGGGACGAGGCCACTGGCACTACGTCGTGACTTCACCAACAGCCTGCAGTTCTCGTTAACGGGCTTTCGCCAGGCCCCTTGGCCTAACGCCAGGATTCCCGGTGCCCGCCCTCAGCGCTCTGAGATTAGACAACGCCCCACAGACCGCGGCTCTCTGTTGACCATCCGCAACGCCGAGACCGGCGTACACAAGCCTGCGGCCGCTAGCTCTCCCACAAGGCCGAGCGCGGCCAAAGGGCAGCCCCGCCCCCGCCACCTCCTGCAGCTCTATTGGCTAATGCGCCTGCCACTCAGCCGCGCGCCCGACCTCGGCCTCGGGCCTGGAGGAGGGATCCCAAATCTCGGCTCGGCTCGGCTCCAGCTGCCTCGCTTCTCCTTGACGTTTACTGTGTTTGGCATCTCTGTTCCAACGCCAGCAGCCGTTTCGCGACCCACGGCGGACTTGCATAAACACTTTCTAGTTGGAATCTCACCCTGCGAGGTGGGCAGGGTGGTGATATTCCTGTTTGACGCCGACAGAAATAAGACAGATTGACTCTCAGAGTCATGTGGCGGGATTTTAAAGGGGGATCTTAATAGTGGCTCCAGACAGACCCGTGTTTTCTGCTTCTAGCATTAACTACGTCATTAAACACTTCTGAGTTAATTTTGTCTGTGAAATGGGGAAAAGATAGCCACCTTGCATAACTGGTGAAGAATTCGTAAACTGACAGAAAAATCTAGTAAAAGGACTGGCCCGTGGTTGGCTCTTAGTGGTATATGTGGGGCTGTGAACATTCCCAGGTCTTCTGACCTCTTGTCTGGGACTTTTTCTGCTAAACTAGCGATTCTCAGAGGCCCAGAGACTTCGGGAGATCCGGGGGCATCTTCAAGGGGATCCCTGAGTTCTAAACTGCAGAGGAACACTCTTAAGAGAGAGAATAAATATTTCCACCAATTATTACGGATAATATATATGTTGTCATCTATTTGCCAAAGACTGTTGTAAGTGCTTGTATACATTAAGTCACTTAATCTTCACGGTGAACACTATGGTACATCCTATTATAATTCCTATTTTACAGGCAAATAAACTGAGGCACGGAGACGTTAAATACCTTTCCAGCTAAAAAGTGTGGGAGCTGTTTTACGTTCATGCAATCTAGCTGATAAAGCCACACACATTAGTGTTTGTACTATATATTATTGTGCAAGAGGTGTCTTTGATAATGATTCTTGAGACACCATTTACAAGATGCCTCTGACTTTTATTAAACTCTCAAAGGGCAGGAGAAGAAAAAAAGAAAAATACAGAGGAACCTAAACCCTAAATCAGAGACAGACTACATGCAGATGTACAAATGGAAGATTAGAAACCCAAGTTGTGGGTACCATGTTTGGAATTCCGTTTTAGCTGAATGCTTTGGACTATCACGTCCCTTGGTGGCTCCCTGGAGCTGCCCATTAAGGAAGAACGATTGAATGACAGGATTGGAATGGAATGTAGCCATCATCTTACCTGACCACACAGACACCTCCCAGCAGATGAATGCATCACCTCCACATGATAATTTTGAAGACTTTCTGAGAAAGTGATAATATTAGCCTGTTACCTCACAATCACAAGGAACAGTACAGTGACTACAAACCCTATGTGCCTTATTCAACAGATGTCACAGAATAAAGAAAAAGACTGGGAGAGAGATGGGAGCTGATAGACCGGAGGAGACCAAAGACTTAAACTGAAGACTAAATCATGGGAAATGGGAGCAAGGACTTATTTGTTTAGAGGGTGAAAAGAGTGAATTTGCCTACAGGGCAAATCTGGAAGCAGCTCTCCCTGGGAGCCAGGTTAGAGTTCCTACTAAGGTGTCCTTGGCCTCTGCAGTGGTGGTGGCCTTGAACTACACAGCACACTTGGACACTCAGCTTCTGAATGTCCAGAGCAGTCCTGAGTCTTGCCTGAGAAAAATACTCAGGTGCTTGGGCTTCGCCTCTCCCTTCTGCCTTCTTTTCCTCCACCTTTCCAGGTCAGCCTGGGGAATATGGAGTGTGAGGAGGGAGGTGAGTGGAGGCTGAGTTTTGACCAATGTTATATGACATTTGAACCTGACCGATGGCAAAAGGAAGATCCTTTGGGAAGCAGGCCTGTGTTCTCATCCCTTTTCCTGCCCCTTTGGATCAGATAGCTGTCAATCATTGTCTCTGGGGCTGGTAAAGAACAGAGAGGGGCACCGGACAACATCAGCCAAGTAAAAGTAGTGCTGGGGGTTGGGTCCCAAGTGATCTGTCAACACATCCTGAAATGGTATTTTGAGTGACCAGAGAAAATGCAGGCTCCATGAAGGAGAGAAGTCTTGGGTGATTCCTGTGGAGAAATATTGGTTGTGAGATTTAAGAGGTGAAAGTGACATAGACAGGAAATGAGGCAAGAGGCTGAGAGTCAGTGGCACCACTTGCTTTGGAAATGGAGCAAAGGCTGTGAAGCTCACAAAAGCTTGGTCCTGGGGTGAGGTGTGGGGAAAGTTGGCCACATAGGACAAGAGCAGGGCTGCAGAGTTAAAGTCCCAAGGACAAGCAATGTGACTGTCTTTCCAGAAAGATTGGGACCTCACCAAACTACCATCTCCCAAGCCCTTCCATCCAACAACTGGATATTCTCTCTATGGCATGAATAACAGTTATTGTGCCACTTGGTATACAAAGACAATTATTATACATTTGCTTTGTACTGGGCTTTTGCTAACTGGCTGTAAGTGCTAACCTTTCATGAGTGACTCTAAAAAGGATGATTTCTGCACAGCTCTCTAAGCATTTGTGGACCCAGTCAGGAAAGCGGAAAGAAGCAACAGGCTTAGCAGATCATTCTGAATAGCTTTGGAAACATAAGCCAGGGAGACCCAGAATGAGGTAAGGAAACCAGTCTTCTCATTTGGAACCTAGAACATTTGAATATGGACACTTTGATGTTTACCTTGGCACCATTAGTATTGAGCAGATTTGTTAAGTATTAGTTTGAACCATCTGAATGATGTGCTGATATTCAGCTGTTTTTGATGCACAAAACATAGCAATTTCCTATGGCTGAATCTGATAAAATCCTGAGGTAATAAGATACTCTAAGAGATGTTAACTTAGTTGACTAGGGGAGAAAACTGAGGAACTTTGGAGACCTAGGTCTCTAAGAGTGAGTGTTCCCAATTACAAAACAATTCATTAAAAAGAGGCTTCCAGGATCTCCGGTTAAAAATTCTAGCTTCATTTATTTATTCATTCATTGTAACAACATCAAAAATCATTAAGCATCTCCCATGTGTCAGCCACTGTGCTAGAAAGACAGAATAAAATGATGGTCACTGCCCTGAAGGAACACACAGAATAGCGGGAAAGGAGTGAGGATGGTGCAGTGGACAGGACTACAGGGAAGGCCCTGGGGAAACAGAAGAGGAACAGAGAGAATGATTCTGGGGAGGGAAAGGAGGAAGAGAAGGAGAGGTGTGGTCTTAGCCAGAGAAGGTTTTGATGTGGGAAAGGCAAGTAATAATTAGCCAAATAGGCAAGGCAGGAAGGAAAGTTCCAGACAAAACCAGGCAGAGATGACCATATGATTTAAAGAAACAAGTTATATTTAGAGTGAATATAGGTGTATTAAGTCTACAGAAAGGCATTTATCAAAGGGCTTTAGGCATCTCCAAGTCAGGAACCGTGTCATATTTATGTTCATATAGCCAGTGTTGTGTCCAGGACCATACCTAGCACATGGTAGGTGCTTGGTAGATATTGAAATAAACTGGCCTGAGGTAAAAAGCCTGAAATTGAAATATACCACAAATTTAAAAGAACTTTTTTCTTTCCTGCTCCCATTAGTCTGAACTGATGAGGTTTCAATGTATTACTTGAAATGTTATGCACGAAAACATTCATTTGCAACCTATCTCTAGAAAGAGATGTGGTTATGTAACCTTTTAATCTGTGTGTCTAAGTAGATATCAAAAGTATGTCTTGCCTTGAGGACTTTCCTAAGTCTGTTCAATGCTGCTATAATAGAATACCTAAGCCTAGGTAATTCATAAAGAAAAGAGGTTTATTTAGCTCACAGCTCTGCAGTCTGGGAAGTACGAGAAGCATGGTGCCAACATCTGCTCAGCATCTGGTGAGAACCACGTGCTGGGTTAAAAAACATGGCAGAGAAGATCACAGGGGAAGCGAATACTTGTGAAGAGAGGCAAAACCTAAGGCACTCTGGGTTTTATACCAACGCACTCTTTTGGAAATAAATCCACTCTCACAAGAACTAGTCTAGCCTCCCCAGAGCAGGAACTCAGTCACTTGGTGAGAACCATGACAAGCCATTCATGAGGGATCTGCCCCCGTGACCCAAACACCTCCCATTAGGCCCCGCCTCCCACCACCACCACAATGGGGGTCAAAGTTCAACATGAGTTTGGTGGGAACAAATAAACTATATCCAAACCATAATACAGACTTTTTCAGTTCCTTATGTTGAATATTTAGTGTGTACTCTCCATAGGCCAGGTGATATAACAGGCTTGTGACCACAGTGGTAAATAAGGCAAATATAGACCCTGCCTTGAGAGAGTTTAATATTTAGTAGATAAAACAGTTATTATCTGTTAATTTGCCTGGATGAATCAGGGAAGGCTCTGAAATGGAGCAGCCTCTGGAAGATGAGGGCATTCCAGGGAGGAAGGGCGGCATATGCGCCAGCATGGAGGCGGGAGGAGATAGCATGATGTACCTGGAGAAGAACAAATAATGAGTGCTACATGGGGCTATTGGAAACGAGAAGGAAATGTGGAAGAAGAAGTTAAAAAGGTGGGCAAGGGTTAGCTCTTGAAGTGTCTTGAAAAGGAGTTTGTATTTTATTTTGTAGTCAAAGAAGAGCCATTGGAGGATTTTATACCAGGAACCAAAAATAGAGTCTGAAAATAGAGGCGCAGAGACTGGTAAGTTGGTGGTTGCCAATCAGTGGTCCAAGGAAAAGATAGATAAGCAGAGCCGTGATCAGCACCAGAGAAGAGGCAACAGAAGGGAGATGCTCAGGATACAATCAATGGGCTTCGAGAGTGACTGGACGTGGGGCACTGGAGAATAAGTGACATGGAGAGATCTAGATTGACCTCTGGGCCTACAGCTCAGGAAAGTGGGTGGGAGGTGGCATTCAGAGAGACCGGGAGCACTCCTCATCTTTCAGAGCCCAGCACATGATCAACAACAGCTGACTTATGAGTAAGATCTTGGGGTCCTTGAAACACCAAAACACTGGTATTTTTAGAATTTCACATTCTTACTGCCCAAGGAAACCCCTTGCAAAGAAAAAAAAAAAAAAAACCTTAAGAAAAGTGAAAGTATTTAAAAGGCTCCGACTTCTCCAAAACACCTCCTCTTTTCTTACTCTCCCAATTGTACAGTCAAAGCAATAACAGCAGCCACATATTAAGTCATTACCATCTATAGCCAAATAACTACAAAACCACAAGAGGGCAATGAAAATGGCCGTAAAGGCACAGAGTAGTAATTAGTTTCCCATTAGCACCAGCTACACTAATGTCAACATAGAACAATTAACATTCCTAACCTCATAATTAGGCTATAACCTCTGCATGTCTTGCCAGAGTAGATTGATGAATGGCACAGGAGGAATAAGCAATAATAAGGCAGCCGTGCAGTGAGACCACTGCATCCTGACCTTGTCTGCGGGTTATCCACAGTGCTGTTGGATAGAAAAGCAGTGGGAGAACTCAGTTGTGATTTCCACTGATCTAGCCATTCCCCAGCTAAAAACCATCTAATTCAGCTGCACTTTCTTTGAGTCCCAGGAAGTGAGTGAGTGAGTGGGAGAAAAGCTACAGCAGTAATAACACAGAAGGCAGAGTCCTTTTGCATTTATATCTCTTTATTCTGTCCATCACTAGGCAACCATTCTTTGTGCTTAAAACTACACATCTTTGTACATGTGACACCTTCTTCTTTGACGTAACCACTTTGGTTTGCAGTGTGCTAAGGGATATCTATTCTATTTATTTCTGTTTAGGTCAACCGCAATGAAGACCAATCCATTTGACCTCCATCCTGGCTCATCTCCTCTGTGTTCTCATAGCATCATATTACAGAATGGATCACAGACGCCTTTGCAGTTGCCTATTTATTTGTCCATTTCTCCCTCCAGACTGTGAGTTCCCAGAGGGCATGTCTTATCTATGTTAGTAGCTACATCTTCAGTACGTGGCTTTGTGGACAACACTCCATAACTGTTGGAGGAATGAATGAATGAGTGAGTGAGTGAATGTTTTCCCTGAAATTCAAGCCTTGGTGGTTGAACTTGTGATTATTTGGTTTACGGAACAAGCTAGGCTGATTGAATTGACTCGGGCAGGCAGAATTAGGCAAAATGTAACACAAAGAAGATGAGTACACCAGCCTCGCTGATTGAGGAGGTTAGCTGTGGATGAGCCAAGTGCCAGCTGCCAGCTGCAGTTGCAAGGCCGTGTTCTTCTTCTAGCTAAGAACATTTCGTGGCAGAGACTCACTCAGGGGTCTGAATATCAGAATCACAACCAGAAAATGGCATTATTGCACAGGCAAAAAGTTGGCGGCTGTCTCCAAGTAACAGTGTCTTGTTAGGTTCCCTAGAAGCAGAGTCTAAGACAAGGACTCTTGGTCAAGTGATTTACTGAGGTCATGCTCTCAGGAGAAAGGGAGTGAGAGGAGCATAATAAGCAGGAAGAAAAGCTAGAGGAGAGCTCAGCTGGAGACTGGCTGCAGCCTGATCACCTTGAGCTATGGGGTTGGCCAACCCTTTGTCTTTCTGTGTGGATCAGTCATTGGTTGTGGGCTATCCCCCTGGGGACAGGAACCCATAACCTCCTAGTGAACACATCTCTTATTTCAGTAGAGAGCAATTCTCTGGAAAAGTGGGCAGCTGTGAGCTGTTGACAGTATCCAGAGCTGGAGGATGGGTGCATGGCTGGTAAAGGTGCTCTGAGCATGGCACCTCCAGCATCTACAAGAGTTGTATTGTGTGAAATATTGTTATAGTCACTTCTCAAAAAAAGACATTTATGCAGCCAACAGACGTATGAAAAAATGCTCATCATCACTGGTCATTAGAGAAATACAAATCAAAACCACAGTGAGATACCATCTCACGTCAGTTAGAATAGCGATCCTCAAAAAGTCAGTACACAACAGATGCTGGAGAGGATGTGGAGAAATAGGAACGCTTTTACACTGTGGGTGGGAGTGTAAAGTAGTTCAACCATTGTGGAAGACAGTGTGGCGATTCCTTAAGGATCTAGAACTGGAAATGCCATTTGACCCAGCAGTCCCATTACTGGGCATCTACTCAAAGGATTATAAATCATTCTACTATAAAGACATGCACACGTATGTTTATTGCAGCACTATTCACAATAGCAAAGACTTGGAACCAACCCGAATGTCCATCAATAATAGACTGAATAAAGAAAATGTGGCACAGATACACCATGGAATACTATGCAGCCATAAAGGAGGATGAGTTCATGTCCTTTTCAGGGACATGGATGAAGCTGGAAACCATCATTTTCAGCAAACTATCACAAGAACAAAAAAAAACAAACACCGCATGTTCTTACCCATAAGTGGGAGTTGAACAATGAGAACACATGGACATAGGGAGGGGAACATCACACACTGGGGCCTGTTGGGGGGTGGGGGGCTAGGGGAGGGATAACATTAGGAGAAATACCTAATGTAGGTGACAGGTTGATGGGTGCAGCAAACCATCATGGCATGTGCATAACTATGTAACAAAACTGCATTCTGCACATGTACCCCAGAACTTAAAGCATAATGAAAAAAAAAGAGTTAAAAAAAAAAAGAAATATTGTCATAGTAATCACTACTGATTATTGAGCATCTACTATATGCCAAGCGCTGTGATAATTAGATGTATTTGCTTAGATACTCCTTTGGATACACCTGTTAGAAAGGTAATATATTAGCATTTCCATCCGACAGATGAGGAAACTCAGATTCATGCTTAGAATAATTCCTTTCTCTGTCTACATTCCTATGATAGAATCAGGATAGTGCACATCCAACTGGCCTGAATTCCATGCATTCATTCTATTAATGAATTCCACCAATGCTTTTGAGCACCTATTACGTACCAAGACTAGGCTAGGCCCTAGGGATATATATCAGTGAAACGATAGTCTTGAATCCTGTCCTCAAAGGATAGGACTAAGCCTCAGGCCTAGATCCAATGTGATCTAATTAAAAAATATTATTTGGACATCTGCTATTTGTACATTCTGATTCACCATGCCCTGATCAAGAAAGAATCCAGACCCCGTGCCTCTGTGAAAGTCCACTTGAATCCCTCATGTAAAACATGTTACTGGATTGGGAAAACCTGTTTTCAATACTTCATACAAACCAAGCACGGCAGGCACTTTCCCTGTGCATGAAGATTAAATTTGGTGATCTCTAAATTCGCTTCCAGCTATCACATCCTCAGATTCCCATCTCTGACCATCCAGAGTGCTCATGGCTACACCTTTACTGGGGACTGTGACGGTCTGTTTTATGTGTCAACTTGGCTAGGCTGTAGCCAGTTACTCAATCAAACACTTATCTAGGTGTTGCTATGGCAATATTTTGTAGATATGATTAACATCTACAATCACTTGACTTTAAGTGAAGGAGATTATTGTCACTAGTATGGGTGGACCTCATTCAGTCAGTGAAAAGCCTTAGGAACAGAACTGAGGTTTCCCTGGGGAAGAAGAAATCCTGCCTGTGGAGTGTACCTTCACCTCTGCCTGAGTTTCCAGCCTGCTATCCATCACTACAAATTTTAGACTTTCAAGCCACCCCCACAATCACTTAAGTGAATTCCTTGAAATAAAACTCTCTCTCCCTCTTTCTCAGCACACACAGGCACGCACGCACACACACACACACACACACACACACACACCCCTCTCCTCTTGGTTCTGTTTTTCTGGAGAACCCTGAATGACACAGGGACTCACCATGTACTTTTCTTCTTGTAATATTGTCTGGTATATACAGTTTTACAGCTTCTGATGTGCATAGTTACGGCCCATCCAGGTTACTAGTACATAGATGAAGCCCATGCTTAGAACACCAACAAAACAAGGATACCAGAGCACGAGAAAAGCTTATCGTCAATTCAATTAACTTAACCAGAGTTTTACAATAAGAACATGCAGAAATTTTGCTTACACATGAATTCTAGGTTTTTTTTTAAGTACCTGTATATGGGTGGGAAGGACTGTAATCATTTCAGGTTGGAGCCCCTAAATGTATTAATCCAGCTCTGTACATCTCCAAGTAGAATATAAGGTCCATGAGGTCAGAGGCCAAGCCTTGGTTTCTTTATGAGCCTATTGTACCCAGTATGATGTTTTACAGATAATCACATACATAGGAGGTGCTGCATCAACCTAGTATTTTCCTTTTGTTTTATTATCCAGAATATGTTAACTTTGGGAAATGGGAAAAACAGGCTCAGAGAAATGCAGATTTGTTTGGTTTTAGGAAAATTGATTTACCATCTCCAAAGGAGAGGCTGCTTCCTCCGTATGGCTAGATTTATTATCTGGAAGGCAGTCCAGAAACCAGCCCTTCTCTTGTTTCTATGTCCATTGGCAGGTGCTGGGAGTCCAACTGACTGACATGTGTCAGGTTTTGTGAGTGTTTTAAGAGAGATTCATTTTGCAACAGCACATAGGCAGGCTGTCCCAAGCCAGCAGCAAGCATTGTTGGCAGTGGAAGGGATTAAAAGGACTTTTGCAGAGACTCAGAGTCTAGACTCTTTCTTGAACACAACCTGGAATAACAGTGTGATGTGTAAACAGCAGGTGTCCCGTAAATTTGTGTTTATAGGCCAGCTGACCTTTGACCCCTGAATGATTAACACCCCTGATGGAGTACGTAGAAAGGGGTCCAGATCCTTAAGCAAATAACTTCTGCTTCAGGTGAGAATCTACCAACTTGAAAAGAGTTGTTTCGACCATAAAAAGGGACTTCAGATTGAGTCCAGCCTGTGGTAGGAAACTTCCACTAACTTGAGTGTGCACCCTGGTGTGTCTCATCCCCAACCAAAGACAAAACTGATCATGCAGCCTAACATTACAGAAATAGAGAATAGAACTCAGAGCCCAAGAGAAATATATGGAAAGGCTTCCAGAATAAGAAAATTAGGAGAATTATAAGATAACTGTGTGTAGGGGTACCCGAAAGGCATTGAAGAGAGAAAAACAACATAAGAGCCGAATGAACTCCATCTCCCATGCATCTCTGAAAGGTTTTCCTGCAACTCCAGTAATGTTGCCCACTTTCCTGCAGGCCTTGCTAGCCCTGGCCTTCCCTCCTTCCATCCAGTCCCCTCCACACTGGCCAGAGTGAGGCTGTGTACATCCTCTGTTTACCTAGAGCCGGTTATGTAAAGCCCACATCCTTCACAGGACACTCAAAAGCTCTCAGAACTAGCTATTCTCAGCCTCTCTCCAGCTGCATCCCCTCACTACGCCTTGCCCCAGATGCTCTTTGGTCGCACAGAACTACTTCACATTACTTTAACTACTCCATGCCCTTCCAGCTTCCAGGCCAAAAATGCCTGCAGCCAACCTTTCAAAAGTTCACCAACCTTTCCAGGCCTAATTCAAAGCTAGCTCCCATCCCCTCTGGCTGAATCCATCAGCCTTTCTTTGATGCTTTCCTAATACTCCCTACTCTCCATGGATATTGTATTCCAATTATTTATATAGTATATTCACACTTCAATTCTCAGCAGAATGTGAGTTCTTCCAAATCTCTGGGCAATGGTCCATTATTTTTAAAATTCTTGGTGCCTTGTTCCATACTTGTCACTTAGTGGGTCCTCAATAAATAGAATTAGATAAATGAAGTATTCAACCAAGTGACCTATATTGGCAAGCCTGCCCTGCAGCTCACACTCAGGCATTTCTCTCAAGCTCTTCCTCCCTTTTACCCCATCTGAAAATTGATGCTCGTTAGCGTGTCCGATGCTACTGCCGCAGATTTCCATATGTGCCCTGTGCCTTCCACACAGACTCTGTGCTCATGTTGCAGGAAAATAAGCTTCACAGGCTGTACGCATCCAGCACCAAGCAATGTGAATATGGGGTGTCCAATAAACACTGATCACGTTAATGATTTGTGATATTTTTCTGCCATTCAGTTATGTGCTTTGAGAAAAGAGATAATGGCACAGGGTCAAAGGCCGATGTGAATTGCAGGGAAATCCACTTGTTGGTTGGGGGCATTAGGTGCACCCTCTGCCCTCCTGCAGTCATTCTCTATCCACTGCGGGTGGGTGGCCCTCAGACACAAAGGGATCCATCCCACTGCAGGGCCCTGTTTGTGGAGGGGCTGATGAGTGACCTCTCTCAAGTCAGGTATAGCCCTTAGGCCAGGAGAGAAGCTAGAAACATGCTGTGGCGCCCAGTTCCAGGTTTCCAAAGACCGTGCCTCATTTGAGTGGGTGTTGCTCTTCAGATTGAACTGAGGTGTAATTCTGCTTAAATCAACATTCAGGACGAGCCATAACAAATGACAGCTTTTCATTGCTGCTGTAGCTCCATAAGCAAGATTATCTTAGCAATTAGAGGGTAATTATTGTCTACAATCAGAAGGGGAGAGGTGTCAGAACAAGGCCGGCAGAAGTGGTCACATGATGGATAATTTATTAGATGGTGAGTGGCTATTTTTCTCTCTCTAGGCCTTTGTGAGAAAAACACCCAAATGCCACAAGTGCATCCCCAGGGAGCTGCAGGGTGGCAGGAGCCGAGGATGCAAAAACATAATTGCCTTCTATCTACTCTGATTTGAGCTTCATCAAATCCTTTGGCTCCCAGGGTATTCTGCAGCAGATGTGTGCACAATATTCCAGCACTGGGACTTGTGTCTGTGGGTACTGCTGGGGGCCCAAGAGTCTGAGGGTCTGCAAAGCCTCCAAGCCCTTCCCCTTCCTCCCAGGCCTCAGGGCCTGTGCTGGCCACCCTCCTGTACAGCCCTTACTTGGCATTCTTGCTAAGTTCTCTGGGGGCTCCAACCTTGACTCTTTTCATTCCATGATGATTTCTTCTGGGCTCTGCGCCTCGGGGGAGAACTTGCAATGCTAGTAATAAGCAAAGAGCGCTCATGATTAAAAAAATGAATTTTCCTGTCTTAAGAGAGAACAGCAGAGCTTAAGGGCTTTCATAGGATTCTGAACAGTCACCTGTCTTGTCCGGCCATTGTCTACCCATGCATCCATCCGTTCAGTAAAACTCTTTTGTGCTCACTGTGCTCAAAAAGCAGGAAGGTTTTGCCCCAAGGTAGTTCACAGCAGAGTGAAATACAGACTAGAAACCAGATAAGCACCATGAGGCGATTTGAAAATAAAAGATCATTCTCCTCTACCATAAACCATGAGTCCTTAGGGAGACATGGGTATACACACACCCTCCCAGATGACAAGGCAATAGCTTATACATGGGATTTCAGCTTCCCTGGAGGAGCTAAATAAGTGAACCTACGAATGCCAGTGTTTGGTCACATAGAAGGCACTGAAAAACCTATGGTGACCAAAAAGGTCAGTGGTTGCCCCACCCTCCAACACTCACCCACACACAGACACTCTTCTCTGATTTGACCAAGCCATTCTATTGCACCTCTCTGACACAATAGGCTGTTTCATACCTTTGCTATCTTTATGTTTGTCTTCCAGGGCCTGGTCTGCTTGGTGAGACCTCAGCAGCTTTGGAACCTGCTTTTCTAGAGACCTCTCCAGAATCTCCTGGCCAGGTTCACCCTCTGCCATTACTGTGCATTGTCCAAATCTTCCTTGCACTTAGCACCCTGGAGCATGTATGTGTGATCTCAGGCCAGCCAGTGAATGTGCACTTAGAAAGCTCACTCATCCTTAAATCCATGAGGCCCAGAACAGAAACAATCAGATGTTCTGAAAAAATATCAGTGTTAACTACTCAAGTATCTTCTTGTTAAAATATTCTTCTTAATCTGTCTCTCATATTCAATCATTCACTAACTCAATTTCAGACATTAAATTGAACACCTACTATGTGCCAGATATTATGATCAGCCTACCTGTCATGGTCTCTTTTGGAAAGAATCTTCTAAACCTGCATCTTAAAATTACCTTTGGGGGTTGTGCTGATAGTGTGTATTCAAGTCTTGTGGTGAACAGGAGGAAAAATATATCATCTTACCTTTACAGAGGTTATTTATTTTTTATAAAGCATCTTCAAACCCTTTGGTTAAGACCTCTCACAGTTGAGCAAGTAGAGTTGTGCTGAATTCTAATATAGGGAACCATGGGAGGCAACATGGTTTGAAAATCTGAGCTGTGTGTCTTCTCTGGAGAGAGCACATGCATCTACTAGCTCCTGACTCCACTTTGAAACAGGGATGGATAACAAATGGCATCAGTGCCACTCAAAGAGTTGTAAGTGGCAGCCAGCTATTCCTCTGCCTAATGATCGCTTTGTGTATTCATTTTCCTCTTTTCTCATTTTGATCTCTCCCATTTCCTATCTTCCCTTGCTTTCTGCTTTCTCTCTTTCTGATGACTTTATCCTCCCATACATTCATGCCCTTGAAGTGGGCATTACTTAACACCCGCCACTAGGCACTCAAGAGATTTGCTTCCCCTTTGCTTCTAGGCTGGATTAAACCCACGTTCCAGCATGTGGTATGGGAGGCAGGGAGGGCCAGAACTGGCACAGCCTCTGTGTCTTCAGGCTGCTGATCATTCCATTCCACATCAGACTTTCTGAGGTGAACGAGCTAAACCAGTGGCACGGGTCTGACCTATAAACAAGGCAGCACCCAGGAGCAGGCCATTGTTGCTTTGTCTGGGTTGAGCACTCAGCTTTGTACAAGTCAGACAAAACACCTGAACATGGAGCCTGGGCTCTTGCCCAGGGTTTCATTCTCACTGTCGCTAAGCCACAGGATGGGAGCAGAAAGGCAATGCTTGCTTTCAACCCCCATGCACACAGAAAAGCCTCCTCAGCCCAGCATCAGCTTCCCTAAACACCACCCAGGGGGCAGTGAATGTTGATTGACTGGTCCTGATTTATTGGAGCAGAAGAGGAAAAGAAATGACAGGCCCTAAATGTCAAGGCAAGGAGGAGTGTGGCCTGGCCGTAAAGACAGCCGAGAGTGTGCACTGGGATGGGTCACGTGACTAGGATTCTCAGGCCAGGAGAGACCAGAAGCCAATTCAAGTGGGAGGTGTCAGAAATGCAAAGTCGGCTGTAAAAATGTCAAGAGCAAGGCAGGGAATAAGGCAAAGGGAAGAGTGCCTTCTGTTTTGTGGGAGGCAGGTTACAAAATGTTAGGAGTGCACATTTACTTTCATATGTCTGTTTGGTTGCAAGTCGAATCTGCTGTCTGCTGGAACTCAGGAGAACTGATAGGAATGCATCATCCAGAAACCTGATGCTACCCCAGGGAGTTCTGATGCTACCTTCCTATGCTGCAGAGGACTCTCCTGCTGCAGCACTAAGAGAAATTCAGATAGTAAGTCAATCCAGACATGCGCCGTGAAAGTGAGCTCTTACAGGCGTGGCTTGCCTGGTGAAAGGTAATGAGGAGTAGCTGAGGCTGCACCTGCTCAGGAGCCCATGTGCTCAACAAGAAAACTCCAAGCTTGCTTCAATTTGGCATTGTTTTTAATGAACATTCACTGTTTTAATTCCATTCACTGTTTCTTGTTTATTTGAGATGGGGTCTCTGTCACCCAAGCTGGAGTGCAGTTGTCATCTTAGTTCGCTGTAGCCTCAAACTCCCGGGCTCAGGTGATCCTCCCACCTCAGCCTCCCCAGTTGAGACCACAGGCATGCACCCATCTTCATTCTGTTTCTTATCCTTGCTGGCCTACTGGAGGGGTCCTCCTGGAGATGAGATTCTTCCAACCTGACAAACTCTATAATTATTTCTACCAGAGCCACAATCTTCCTGGCCAGTGGCTGAAAGGGGGCAATGCCCAACATGGAAATGCATACCTGCCACTCAGCAGGAATCTGGCGGGGCTGAAAACCCACCACATAAAGGCAGTCTCAGGAGGCAGGAACCGGGCCACTGTCTTAGTTTCAATTCCTGAAACAGGAATCTAGATGCAAATGTTTACTGGGAATGTGATCCCCAGAAACACAGTGAGGGATTGGAGAAGCAAGATAGAGAGAGGCGGGTTAGCCAATAAAGGGGGTATTCATGAGCAGGATGCTGCACAGAGCACTTGGGTAGAAGTAGAGTAGAAAACACGTCGATTTTCCTGTTGGCAGGGGGTTTAAAAAAAAAAAAAGACTTTATTATATATTTTTTAAACCAGCTCCATCCTTCATTGGTTAAGGGTTGCTCCAGGCACCTTTAACTCTGATGCTGTTCTGGGCTTCCCCATGCAGGGGCTTAACAAATTTCTGTGGCCAGAGAGAGTCATCAGGCAGAGATGCAGAAGCATCTCTGGGTAAGAAGCCACAATGTGTCCATGAAGCTGCAGATGACCTGCAAGGGAACCTGTTCCATCCACCTGCAACAGCCATCATGACAGTAATGTCTTCTCATCTGTGTGCCCAGACATGTGCACATGTGCATGCACATGCACACACACTCACACATACACAAATGCAAATTGTTGTACCCTTTTCTCATTTGCACTCCCCCTCACCATGACCACGTAAAAATAGAGTCTCCAAATAGTCTCAGCCCTGCTGAGCCATATAGCCTTGCCCTGCAATATGAGCAAGTAGAAACAGTATATGTAGCCTCCCAGGCCCCAGCTACTCCAAGGTAAATCCATGCCAGTTTCTAACTTCAGCCCAGCTGGAAAGGCTAGGACTTGCATTGGCTGTTTTGCTTAAGCCCTGCTGAAGGGCAACATGGGGTGATGGGAAAAACTGGAACAGATGTCAGGAATTTGAGGTTTCTTGTGTCCTGTTTGCCAGTAAGTTACATAACTTCCTTAGTTGACTTCTAGAACTTAGTTTCTCCCTTGGTAGAACTAGAGTAATAATACCCGCCCTATTTGCCTCTAAGAGTTGTAGGAAGACTCAAAAGGAGCCAATTCACGTACCTGCGATCACCTTGACATGCTAGGGATATTCCTCGCAAAGCCTTATCCTGCTGAATCTTCACCTAATTACACTGGTTTTAGGCTTGAAGCAGGGACCTTGCTGGCTGACCTCTCAAAGCCTCCCTTTCCCTTGTTCCCATGTGTAGCATTCTGTTTTGGGAGCACAGAATGTCCTCTGGTCTAGAGGAAGCTAAGCCACTGTTTGCAATCAGTCCAAGCAGATCAAGTTAACGACAAGGCCATTTTGGAGGCACACAAGGAGTCCTCTTTGCAGATGGGCACGACAGGCTTGCTTGCAGCCTGAGTGGTGAACAGCCCCTTCCATCTCTTCATTTGCTCGTATCAAATAGCAAATTCCAGAATCACTGTACAGAGTGGTGGATGGGACAACACAACTTACCCAAAATATTAATAGGCACCCATGAGGGCACTAGCTGTTGTGCCTAGTCTGTGTCATTAAGGCCTGAGTGATGTCAACAGAGAAGCTATTGTTGGCTGGATCTGTCCCCTCCAGCTCAACCAGGGAGTGTTTGTTAGTCACTTAGGAAGAGCTGCCCTAAAAGGTGAGTGTGGTTCTCAAAGGTGGGAAAAACTAACAGTTCTTGAAGAGGACTCAAGGTGTATTGGACCATCAAATACTGGAGTTGATGTTGAAGTCTGTAACAATGGTAACAGTACCCAACGTGTATTCATTGTGGGCTCAGCCAAGATCTCTGGGGACTAACGAGGGGAAGGGTGTTGAGCCCTTCTACACAGGCTCAGAAAGAAAGGTTCTCATCATCCATTTAGAAACAATGGAAGCAAAGGAACTCTCTGGGACAGAAACTTTGTCAGTCGGGGAGAGGCTTGAAGGAGACACTAAATGGTTCCCAGAATGAATTCCCATGTAAACCTAAAGAATGCTGACAGGGAGAAGCCATTGCTCATTCTCCCTTTTAAGCCAAATAATATCCTCCTGCCGGAACAGAGTTGTTCTTGGCACTTGGAAGTAAATGTGAGGAGGGAATCAAAACACAATGCCTGAGAAAGAAATCCATAAGAAATCTGAAGGCCAGGACGTGGTGAAAAGTAATAAAGATAGATGGGTCAGTGGCAGGAACAAAGATTAACTGTACCAGAGGAGATGGTGCTTTGGCTCTGAAAATAGGGATGAGCCAAAGCAGGAAGTGCTGCAGAGACACACATGTCCTTCATTTCCACCCTGAAGGCTCAAAGGAAGGCCGCTGCCCAGCCACGCGGAAGCTGCAAGACAGGCTTCTGGAGGCTGGGGCCTCCTTGCCCTAATCCTGGAAGGATATTCCACGTCTAAATCACTGAAGCTTCATCCTGTGATGCAGAAGCTCTCCCCTTGTGAACAACCAACACAGGAAGTAGTGAAACCTGGTAGAGAGAATATTCTCTTTCTCCACCTTCAGTTATACCAGAACTGCCTCCAGGGACTTTGGCAGGTTTGACAAATGGCAGAATAATTTAGAAGATTTTCTTTGTTGGCAAAGGAAAGCCAATGGTTGGGCACAAACATGCTGCTGCGGTTGTTTGTACAATGAAGCTCTAGATTGCAGGCAGAAATGTCAGGTTCCTTTCAGCTCTCTTCAGAGCTAATCTAGTTCCCACGTGCAAACTCAATCTGTAGCATTTGGGTAAAGAATACTCAGTCCTCTGCCATGACAAGAACAAATTCATCACCCACACCATACATTGTAGCTAAGGGCATCATTGTGCCCACATGAATCACCAGGCAGAGACGGCTGCCGACTCTGAAATTCTTTACTCATAGAAGACTCACGTACACTAATGCCGACTATTTACGCAAGCACATTTCTCCAGGTGGCCTGGAGCAGTTTACAAGATGCTGGCTCATTCCTTATCATGTCACTTGGAGGGAGAGCAAAAGGTGAGGAAGAGGAAGGGCCGGCATCATCATCTTCATTTTATGTGGGGAAACTGAGGCTCACACAAGCCATAAAGTGAAATGTATAGACATTTATGAGTCAGAAATCGACCATGGAAGAGGCAAAATGAGCTCATCTGAATCATGAGTGGACTATGTCTTGCCCAACAATTTCATGCAGCTCTTCCAACACAACTGTTTTGATACAGCAGCCTCAAAACAAGCCAAAATTCGACTCGCTGTATTTGGTTTATAACCAATTTCCCATCTTTCATTCCTTCTCTGACTTCTACCTGATTTCTGAATTTGGTTGACCCTGTTTTTTGTTTGTTTGTTTTGTTTTACTTTAAAAGACCCTCAACCCTCCTGGGGTCCTGACCTGCTATTTCTTTCATTTTGAACCTCTACCAGTTCTTTCCTTCATCTGTTCCCAATCCTTATACCCTTGATGCCTGGAGGTAAGATTGACAATGGGGTGAAGATCAAGGTTGAGGCAAAGCTCACAGATGGCCTGCAAGATGCCTGTTTTACTCATCATTTATTTTTTAAAAAGCTGAACATTTATCGGCTGAATTTTTGAGCCATACCAAAATATCCTCATGTCAAAATAGCTGCAGTAAAGTGGTTCTATTAAAATAGCTGCCTCCAAAGAACTGAGAGTGGAGATGTCACCTGCTTCTGGCACCTGACTTTGGTCCTCTTCTGCGTGGCATTGCCTTCTGCTCTGCTGGATTCTGGTGTGTGGCTCATCAGAGGAGGCACTAACACCAGGGCTGCCTTTTATCTTGCTGATCCAAGCGAGGACTATGTAGGTGTCACAGATGAAACTCATCCAGAAACCCAACAGGATGCTAATGGCATGGCCACGTGTTTCCAGCACACCATGAGGCAGCTGGCTGGCATCAGTCCTCTCCCCAGCCTCCATCCCACCCCCATCCACCCATAAGCTCTTCTTGGTCAGAAATGCAATTCTTTGATGGTGCCAGACAGCCAGATGATGCTGGAAAGAAGAAAGAAAAAGAAAAAGCAGGTTTCTAAATTAAGCACAAGGCTCGTTTATAAAAATAAATAGCCACAGCCTAGCAACGTGCTCACAGCTCAGCTTTCCTCCGTAATAAAACCTCTGTGGCTGAAGCCTGGGATGACACAGCCTTCAGAGGGCCCCACGCCCTGGCCCTCCTCATGCCCTGGCCCCTCCCAGGGTAGTACTCATCTGGAGAGTGCTGACAGTGGTACTTTGAGGGCCCCATTCTTCATTCAAGGCCAACCAAGGGCCAGACTCCAAAAAGCAGAAGGAAGGCAGAGCTTAATGAGGCCCATGAACACTTGCAGACTCTTGGCAGCAACTAATACACCTGTAGCAAAAGTGGTCGAAGTTCCTTGGGCTACTCTGTTGAAATAGGAACTCCTCCTTAAGACCATGTCTTGTTTGTTCACCATTGAACAGTACTCAGCTTAGCACAGGGCACGTATTGAGTACTCATTCACTATGTGAGGGAAGGCTGGTTAGAGGCATAAATGAATGAATGAATTCTGCCATCCCATTGTTGATGCTCTCCAAACTCTTCACTACAAATGGAGTCAGTTCCAGAATCCAAAGAGAGGCATCCTTCTCCTGGTTATGACATGCACCAAAGAGGCATCCCCTGAGCTGGATATTTAAATCCGAACCCACAGCTGAAGTGAGCACCAAGATGTACTGAACAAGTGTGGGCTCTTACTGACTCAAGTGGTGAGGCTGTTACAATGGGCAAGGGCAGAGGGCATGGGATATGTAGGTAAGTATTGTTAGCATTCCTGAATCTTCTCCTGTTCTTTAGGCAGCAGCAGTTCCAAGGGTGAGCTGTTGCTCAGCAGAGAAATGGCAGGACAAAATAGCACATTTGCTTCTGGTCTTAGTCCTGTTGGAACACAAAAAGTGGAGTCTTCAATGCTGTTGGAGGCTTAACAGGTCAAATACATCAGTAATAGGCATGGTATGAAAAATTTAATCCTGCTACCAACTCCCCCAAGTCATGGAGTGGTTAAGTATGGCTGGGGTCATACGGAGACAGTCCTCAGAATACTGAAAATGTGATCATCCTGAATCCCATAAGGATCCTCGTGAGGTTAGAAGGGGCAACGTGACTCCATTTTGACACCTGAGAACAATTGCTTTGGTGAGTTTCTACGTATTGCTTTGTGATCAGAGAGTGGTACAGGACAGCATGTGAAAGTCATAAATCACCATCTCAGAGCAGGGCTACTTAGTTACAATATTTAAAAAGAACAGAGAAATTGTCACACAGCATCATTTAGAAATCTGTCTTCAGGCATCTTCGTCTGGCCTGGCTGGAAAGAGTAAAACCATATTTATGTCATTGAGAAAAAGGTTCTTAATTAAATTCAAATGTATAAGAATATATCCTAGGTCTACTTTTGGAACAATAATCTGGGAACCAAAAAAAAAAAAAAAAATCCAAACAGCAACAAAACTGGTACAATAGCATTTAGCTTCACACAGCAGCATATAATAGAGAAGCAGAAGTCCTCCTAGACTCTGGACTCTTAGATTGACAAATCCCACAAGCCAGAGCACCAAAGTCATTGCACTGGGACATTTAGGAAGAAGAACTCTAGCAGTGACCTGATTAGGAGACAGCTCCAGCAGAGAGTCAGCACACAGACTGGCCAAGCTACCCCCAGATCTTTGGTGATATCTCTTTGGTGGAGATAAAGGAAACCCTTTCCAGAGCAGGCCAACTATGGCATCCACAACCATAGTCCCTGCTCCAGCCTAGTGAGGACATAATGTGTTCCATAAGTCCCTAAGGCTCCATGCCCAGGGCTCCCACTTCTGACACGGCGGCTCGAGGATAAGACCCCACTGACCCCATTCTCTATGGAGGGTACAGAAATACGTAAGAACAGAGTCCAGTACTCAGCTCTGTGACCTTAACTACTTGGAAACTCAGTTTCCTTGTTCATAAAGTGGATAGAGTAAAAACAATGCTTTCTGTCTTCCAAGAGTGTATGAGGATCAAATAAAATACTATTATGTTCAAGTGCTTCCCAGTCTGCAAGCTATTGTTTCACGTGACCATGTTTTATAAAATATAAAGGTATACAGTGAGAAGTTTGCTTCTGATGTGAAGATTGAGACTTCCTTTGTCACAAACTTTTAGGGTGCTGCCTGGTTCCATCTTATTCATAATCCTATTTTTTTTTTCAGATACCCCTGGCCAATTCCTTGGCTTAAAATACCAAAGACCTAGCATTTTAAAATTGTGTTTCTGTAACTGCTTCTTTCCTCTTACAATCCCTCAAAAAGTCTGCAATTCTAGAATGCATGAGGAACTCTGGGGCTCACATAGTCCACCACTCCACTTTGCAGATATACACGCAGAGGCACAGAAAGGTTAGGCAGTTGTCCAAGGTCACCTGTGGAGTTTCACTCACCCTATCCTCAGCTTCTCCCACAGCCTGCCAGTGTCTGCCCTCCAGTGGGTCTTTGACAAGGGCCACAGTTCAGATTCTACTCTTCTGCAGCTGGGACATCCATCTTCTGCCCTCGGACATCAGAACTCCTTGTCCTCAGGCCTTCAGACTCCAGGGTTTACACTAACAGCATTCCCCCGCTGGTTCTCAGGCCTTTGGCCTTGGACTGAATTATACTACCAGCTTTCTTGGGTCTTCAACTTGCAGGCGGCATATTGTCCCTCCATAATTGCATAAGCCAATTTCTATAATAAATCCCTTCTTAAATATCTGGATAGATAGGTAGGTAGGTAGGTAGATAGATAGATAGATACATACATACATACATACATACATACATACATACATACATATCCTATTGGTTCTCCTTCTCTGGAGAACCTTGACTGATACAGATTTTGGTGCTACACTCCCTCAATAATGACCACATTTTCCCACTTTTAAGTGAGTAATTGTTACTTAAGCTAGGTGTCTTATTTAGGATATGAGGGATGGGGAGCCAGAGGATGGTAGACAGTTGAGGGCAAGTGGATTAAAGCATGGCAGTCATGGGAACAGGCACCTCTAGTGATCATGATGCCTCATCTTAGATTATACCTTTGGAATTTGCCTTTTGTTTTTGAAAAAATAAATATATAACTATTTCATTTTTGTAGCTATTTGTAATAATTTGCTTCCTCACAGAAATGACAGAGTACATTCATGCAAAGCATATAAATGCACCTAAGTTGTTTTTGAGTTGTTTTAAAAGAATGTGTTAAGAAGTAGGATTTGTTAAGTGACAATTCTTCTACCATCAGCCCACCTTCCTGTCTGCAGATGACCTTATGTCTATCCAGGAAAGAAAAAATGAGGTTATTTTGTGTGAAATCCCACCCATCATCCCTACACCTACCTATCCATTTGAAGCCAAATTCTCCTCCTCCTTCCCTCCTCCCCAAACTACGTACTCATACAAAGAAGGGTCTTTCTTTCTGTCTGTGATTATAACTCTACCTCTGTGCTAGACCTATGGTGACCAACCATCCTGGCTTACTCAGAACTGAGGAGATTTCTGGGACACAAGACTTCAGTGTTAAAATCAGGAATATTCCTGGCAGACTGAGACAAGCTCGTAACCCTGGTAGGCCCCATGCCCTTGCCCAGGGACCTTTCTAAACAAGCCACGATTGAATGAATTGATACCAAATAGTAGCAAATTGCTATGTGATATTGGTGGTCAGGAAGAGAACTAGAAGGGATGAATGAATGAAATGTAGTGATTTTTTTTTAATGAAAACCTTCATGAATATGTTGGGAAAAACCCAGAGGAGGATATCCTGTTATCCAGATGAGCAGAAGAGCAGAAAAGTTACACTGAAGAATTTATATAGAGATATAGCTCCCATTCACTTGGTGGGTAAGTCAGGACAATCCACATTACATAGGAAACAGACCATAGTATTGCTTCACAACTTTCTAACTTCCTGTCATGCATTTATTAAAAATTATAACATCTGCAACATAGGTTAAGTTGAAAGGAGAATCTTCTTACCGCCACACATGACCACCTGAGTGGCCTCATGACCACGGAAACTACCTAGACCCCTGAGGACTGAGAGGTTCAGTATTTCAGCTCCACATACCACTATGTGGCTGGTTGGGAATCTTTGAACTATAGGATTATAGCATTCTGGCCTAAACAGGCAGGTCTAGACTCTACTCCATCACAAATCTGAAATCTTGACCCACATTCTCCCTAGGTTTCTGGTAAAACTAGCAAAGCCTAGGAGGTCAAACTGCCTCTGATAACCCGATATTGCGAAGCTTCCTCAAAGGCTATTTCCTGAAATGTGGGTTCCTGTTTACATTTCCCCTTCCTTGGTCCAGGTTTATCCCTACATACGCACAGAGTTGCAGCTTGACCAATGACTTAATGATTTTGGGAAAGAAGGAAGTAATCCTATGCTACACTCAGCTTATACTCAATAGTTGACCTGAAATAAGATTTAAAAAATTTTTAAAGATATTGCCAACAATTAAAAAATTCAGATATTTTTCATTAAAATTTTGAAAAATAAGCTGGCTCCTTTCAAAAAAGGAAAGATCTAGCAGCTTGGGGCCATAGTTTTCCCATGGGCACAATAATCTAAGACTGAAGGCCTTGGATAGTCCAGCAGACGGGTGTGTTGGCTGCCAGGGTTCAAATTCCATCGCTGCTAACTTACAGGTAACTGTATACATGAATGTACCCTCTCAGAGCCTTGGTTTCTCATCTTTAAAGAGTGTAAAACTAATAGTATTCATTTTTGTATACAAAAAAATGCTTAAAACTATCACATATTAATCATTCAATAAATGCCAATGGTTTTCCCCCAACACATACACTTATACAGGTAGCTTTACTGTTTTTCTTACCTTCATGGTCCCATGAGCGTAACTGCTAGTCTAGATAATTAAACTAAATGA